TCGCAAATCCGATAACCTCTCTAAACCGATGCTAAAGCAGTCCACCGTGCCTACCGGTTTTGAGAGGGTCAACTGTACTATTTGAGAAATTACAAATTCTTTAAATTTATCCTTTGTGCAACTACTTTTTATAATGTTTATTGCAATAATACTATCTAAAGCAAGAGCAGGTAATATTGTATAATGTTTGCCACAAACAAATACAGCTTTTTTTATAGCTCTTGTATTTGTATTTGAATAACCATACTCTTGGGTAATTGTATATTTATCTTTATATAACTCATCTAAGAAAATTAACTATTCATGCTAATATTGAGTAGCTATATATTATGTTCTTTAGCAATTTTATATAACTAAAAATATAAATAAACTATATATATATTTAATTTATATTATATTATATAATTTTATTTAATACTATTATATTATATAATAAAGGTAATAAAATATATGCAGTATTTTAAAGGATATTTTTAAATAAAGTCAATACAATATATTTAAAAAATATTTTTAAATTAAAATATAAGCCATATATATCACAATTAATATTTAGAGATTTATTAGGAATTTTAAATTTTTTATTCCTCCGAAAATAAGCACCCTTTCGGAGCAATTTTTACAACCAAAATTCTCGCGGTCTAGTAAATGGATCTGCATAATTTTGGTACCGACTTGTCAAAATGATTCGAATGGTACCAAAATTATGCAGATCCATTCATTAGATCGCGAGAATTTTGGCTATAAAAATTGCTCCAAGGTGTGCTTATTTTCGGAGGAATACAGTAACTAGTTTTGTCTTATATTACAATTTTTTTTTTTTTTTAATATATATATCAAAATACTGCTCACCATACAGCGCCTGCATACGGTACCTCAGTCTTTTTATAAGAAATCAAAGACAAATAATATCCCGGGATACTGCGTAAAGAGGAGGATATTATACAAGGGGGTATACTGAAGAGAGTATTAATGATTGTATCGAGCTACCTGATTATTACCGGGATACTTTTCAAAAATGTTAGAATCCACAATCCGACGCTATTTAAAAGGAATACTTTTTCAAAGGATTATTGTATGCAGCGCTATACTATATAACTTTGTTTAAATTAGATTGTATAAACATAAGTTTATATTATTTTAATTATAACGAATTGCTAATAACTTTAAATAATTTGTATTTAATATTTAAATAAAAATATTTAGGCTTCTGACTAACTTAGCACATGTTCATATATTATTAAATAACAAAAAAAGTTATGATCAAAATCTCAAAAAAATTAAACTATTCACTCCAGTAAAAGTGCTCAGTATTATCAAAGTCATTTCTCACAATTATAACCTCTAACCCTAGTAACAATTTAAATTCAAAAAAAAAAGGCATTAAACTTTCGAATTTCTAAACAACACCTTTCAGTAAAGCTAATAGATATTTCACAAGTATGTTGGAACGAATTACTATTTATATATAAAATAGTATATCAATATGTAATTTTTTTTTTTTTGTTCTTTGTTTAACCTTTTTTTTTAAAAAAGTTAATTTATAATAGTATATTCACAAATAAAAAAAAACTACTTAGTTCCTATTATAGGAAAAATAAGTACGCAAAAATTTTTTAGTTGATTTCCAATACACTTTTAATCCTTCAACCTTTTTTCTAACACTAAGACATTTTACTGGATCATTGGATATTATCGCATCGACGCCATATGAAAACAAACTTTTCATATCATTTTCAGCATCCACCGTCCAAACAAACAATTTTCTACCACTGTTTCTTATTTGAGAAAAAAAACCTGTTGTATCTTCGAGTATATAAATATATTCCATGCTATAGCTTTCAACTTTATCGAAAAATTGTTCACGAGCAACCGAAATATTGCTACTTATATATGCGACTGGAAGATGCGGCAATACTTTGCGAGCTTTAATTAAGAAGTCGTAAGTCCAAACACCAAGGTATATTTGAGATTGAAAATTATAAGGTTTGTTAGCGTATATTATATCGGCGATCGCGTCGAGAATGTTTATATTATTGTCATCCTATTTAATTTTGATTAACAAAAAAAAAATGTTATACTGTTCAACGATGCGAGGAATTACTCCTTTCTAAAAATTCGTACCTTTATATCCATTATAAAAAAATTATTTTTATTTTTTTTACGCTTCAATAAATCTAGGACTTCTTGTAACTTTGGTACCTTTTCATTATTTTCAGTTACTAGATATTCAATATATCCATTCCAATATTTTTCGTCGACACTTCCTGTGCCATTAGTCGTTCTATCGAGTGTAGTATCGTGCATTATTATTACTTGGCCATCTTTCGTCAATCGAACATCTGATTCGATTCCCTCAGCTCCAATATTTATTGCTTGCTCAAGAGATACAAAAGTATTTTCAGGATACTTGGCAGGGTAGCCTCGATGACCTACACATTTTGTTCTTGATCCTATTTATACAAATAGAAGAAAGGGTTGAATAAATTTAATGGAAGAAAGAATTAGATATTAAAAAAAAAAATTTACCGATTCTATAAGAAAAGTGACAAAGTCCATAACCATGTATAAATAATGAAAAAATTATTATAAAGATAATCGGAGCCATCGTTTAATTGCCAAATAATAAATATTAACATTTGAGATAACCATCATCTATATATACTAACAAAAGTTACACGGATAACTTTAATCATCTTCCACAAACTATACAATTTTTTTTTTTTTTATTGTTGCATTACGTAAATACGTGCGTACTGTACACAAGTTTACATCATGATCAAATCTTGAGCTGTCGTGCATTCAACATGAGTCGGTATTGGCTGATAGTGTTTTGAATTTTAGATAATTTAGTTATTCAATAGATGATCATTAACCAGTATCCGACCAGAATTGGACTTGTTAAATAATTCAAATTACTTAATTCATATTGCAAATATTAACGTTAATATCTTATGGAATACGGCGTTTATCTAATTACCCTCGAATTACAAATTGGACTTAACGTTGGGGTGTGCGGCGTACTATGTAAATCAAAACTATATGTGGTTATATAATAAAATTTATTAATGATTTTTTAGCGAGGTAGTAATTTTATTGTAATTATAGCAAAATTTTAAATAGATGCACAACCCTAACGGTTCGATAGATTTGAATAAAATTTTGCAAAAACCAGTATTATGTCCTTACGAACAAAGTTATAGTCATTTCTTTAAAAAAGAAACCAATTTAGGTTTTCTCTTGTAGATCAAGGTTTTTTTTCATGCTTAAGTGAAAGAAATGGCTCTATAGCTTTGTTCGTAGAAACATAATACTAGTCTTTACAAATTTT